CGTTGAAATTTTCGCGCAATTGAAGCCGAAAGTTTACACCGCAAGTTCTGATTCAATATCTAATGTTTATGTGTTGTTCTTCAGAAACATATGATTTGACACTGAAATACTTAGATAATGTCTGTCACTAGGGCAGTGTTTTAAATACCACAAAAAAATTACCAGAATGCAAATCCCAGATGTCGTCTGTCCACGGTATAAGAGTAAATATCAAGAAGTCACTAAAAAGGCCATATTAACTTTGCTTCCTTCTGTCACAACGTACTCTGTCAACAGGGTTTTCAGCTTACACTTATAACGGGTGATTTTTTTGAGGTNAAACAAATTCAGGGTCGAAATTGGATGCTACCCCAGAAATACGCAGCTTCTTTTTTAGTGAAGGTTTTTATTCAGTAAAGGTTTTTATTCAGTAAAGGTTTTTATTCAGTAAAGGTTTTTATTCAGTAAAGGTTTTTATTCAGTAAAGGTTTTTATTCAGTAAAGGTTTTTATTCAGTAAAGGTCTTTATTCAGTAAAGGTTTTTATTCAGTATAGGTGTTTAGTAAGGGTTCCATTATCTTTAAAGTTTAAGAACCCCTGGATTAGACTGTTGCCTAAGCCATCATGCAATATCTGCATATACATATACGAATGTTTGTATGTATAGACAAGGGGCACAAGTGATAGTCGCCGAGGCGTACATACATTCCCATAAGTAAAAACGTCTGCGTAGGCGTTGGAGCAGAAGTCGTGTGAAGGAAAAGAAATAGAGCAGCAACTCACATACACTTAGCTACTTCACAGAAGAAGACTCACAGCCAGATAAAGCAGTAAAGCGCTGGAAAAGCGCAAAGCTTGAATAGGCCCAGAAATTGCCGGAATTGAGGAGCAAAAACATGGAGCTGTAGGAGAGTTGAGCGTACACAAAGCTTTAATCTGCAAGTCTTTGAAATAATGCAGACAATTGCAGACAATGTGTCCTTGCCATTCCGTTTACACACACGAATTTTCATTTCCTTTTTTTTACTTTTGTTGAGTGGCTGCAGGCAACTTCGTGTCCTTGTCTCATTCTTTTCGCACATGCACAAGCACACTCACATTAGTACTGGCATAGAAACATGTACATATGTACATACATATGTATGTATATGTGTATGTATGTATAGTCATGCTTGCATTGTTGTCGCTACACGTTTCCCTTTCGTGCTGCATATTTGTTTGGTTCTTCTTCGCTTGGCTTTGTTTTTGTGCGCTTCCACAAAAAGAAGAACGAAATGATGTCGCTGTTATTTTATTTAAAGTCAACTTGGCGGTTTGTTTATCGCTCTACTGTTTTCTGTCTCACTGTTCGTTTATTATTGCTGTTTTTGCTATTGTTGACTTTAGTCTAGTGGTTTGGTTGTTGCCAAGCAACATGTCGTTGCACAAAATATCCGCTTGCAATTAAAGTCACATCAAGTCGCATGTCCGGGAATTCGACGTCATTTGCAGAAATTTGTGTTGAAATTAAATGCAGTTTTTTGGCAGGCAAACGATTTGTACACATGCTAGATTAGACATACATATCCTCGAACAGAAAAAATTCCAAAAAAAGTAATTAAAAGGAGATATTGTAACGGGAAAACATAGTGTTGCCATACGCTCTGTAATGTAAAAATGTATTTTTCTTTGTGATTAAAAAGATTTACATAGAATACGACTTAAATAGCAAAGAAAAGTACTCAAAAGAATTCCTTTGTCAATTGCACCACAAAAAGGATAAAAAATACCACAGCTCAGCGCCTAGCAAAAAATATACTACAGAAAAAATAACGTTTTAAAGAACGTTTAAATTGCCTCTCATTAAAATCGTAAAATGATTGACGCATTGTCGCAAAGCGAATACGAATACATATAAACAAAGTTTGTAAGAGAAATAGAATCATTTGTAACATACTACACGTACGGTGACCAGATTTTTGTGGAATAAAATCGGGACTTTTCTCGTATCGTATCAAAATATAATAATTAGTTTTTAGAACGAAAAGATCTAAACTTTTTTAATGCAGTTCTATTTAAAACCAAACAAAGAAAACCAACCTAAACAAGTAAGAAAGTCTAAGTTCGGGTGGAGCCGAATATTAGATACCGCGCAAATATTACATATAGTTTTTTTCGCCTTTCCGATATAAGCAGGGGTGATCCGGGGTCCGATTTCAATAATTTTCAGCCTTTACATGGCAAGCCCAATAATCAATCTGAGTTTGGTACAAATTGCTCGAACAGTTACCGGTATATACATATGTGGTCATATGTGGGTGGTGCCACGCCCATTTTCTAAAATTTTTTGATAAACGTATTTTGTAAAGAGTTACCGGTTAATTCTTGTTTCATTCTGATCATTTATGTATATGTATTTATGTACACATGTTACAAACAACCGTTATGTGAACATAGTTATAATACCCTTGTGCACAAGTGCGCTCGGGTATAAAAATGATGTGAAACTGTATACAAATATATCGGAAGTTTGGTTATCTGTTAGACTGAACATATTCTACCTATCAAGTTTATTAATGAAATCTCCGAAAACGTAATTTTTGAGTTAGCATATGTATCTATATTATTAAACGTGCGATATATGTATGTATACATCTGACTGTCCCACGAATATCTGGAAAAAAAAAATTGTATGTGCATATTCTCTCTATTTGTGATTTCTAGCCTAAATAACGTATACATATACATATGAAATTTTATGCAAAAAATTCGATATGTTTCATATGTTTGAACGCACTTTTAGTAAATTTGCATCTTTAAATTTTTAAAAGAATGGCGGGATTTCTTTCAAGAACATCGAAAAAAGGCTGCAAAACGATGTGTTTTCCAGTCGAATAATTTGTGTTTGTCCTGAATATTTGCTATTGTAGAACTTTTTTTAATTGGTCTGACAGGGCGTATGATGAACATTGAATTATCAAAATCAACTTTTATATCTTTTTTTCTTAAAAAAAAGTGGTTTGCGTAATATTAAATAAACAAAATAAAATGCTTTAGTATTTGATTAAGGATTAATTGTGGAGGTAGGTATTAATAAACAAATTTTAAAAATATCATTCGAAATTTGTATACTTTTTTCTCCTTATATATATTCATAGGACTTAAATTACACTAAGATTCTTCAAAATGCACTCAAACTTCTCAAACATCTTTAAGGGTAATATTTTTAAAGGACATTTTTGGCATGTTCCAAAAGGATAATTGAAAACAAAAGTTATAATTAATCCAGCTTCGAGTTCTTCTTTAAATCGATACCCATATATCCATATTTTGTGTAAACTTTTCGAAATATATTATAATTTATGGTCCTTTGAAAGAAATTTTATTGGAAAGTTGTTAAGAGAAAACTAATAAAATGAGGGGGTATGCGTTAGAAAAACAACTTTGCTTTTTTGGAATAGTCTACTAAACGAGTAGGTACACTCATACATATCTTGTGTATATTTTTCATATCCATGATTTTTTAAGCAAATTAGAATTATTTGTTATAGTTTCACCAATTTATTTGTTAGTATCGTTTAATAAGAAGACATCAAATAACAAGAAAATTACAAAAAAAAATATACACCGAAATACAGCGAGAACATCAGTTTGACAGAGTAAAACATAACAAAAGATCAGAGAAAGTAAAGATCTAATGTTTTTGGCTCCTTTTATTCTATGTTCTTGGAGATAACGAAAGATCTGCCACTTTTGTCTGAAAAATGGTTTTTCCTTAGCTCCCAACTCACCACACTGTCGTTGGTCTCGGCTGAGTGGCAATTGCATATATGTCACAATTTTCTACTAGTTTTAAAAAAGGTTTCAAATTCCAAGCGTTTTCATCATTCTGCTGTTGTCTTCGCTTGAAATAAGAATCTTTCTTCCTTCAAATAAACTGCTTTGCAACTTATCGCAGCGTATATCGGGGTAAGCGGGGCATTTCTCGTTGTAGCAAATACGTATATTTCTCGAATCGCTTACATCAGGCAACTTCTTCCGTGGACGGTCTAATTGCAGCCACATTTTCCTTTTTGTAGCCGCTAGTATTTAGCACTGAAATTCTGGAAAACAATTAAACTAATTTTGTACATTTCATTAATCGCTCTTTAGCATCAACCAAATTATTTCACGGTGTGGCAACTCTTACCAAAAGGCAGGGTAAAATGCACATCAACATGTCTACTGCTACACTGATGGCTAGAGTTTGAAATGGGCTTATTTGTTGTTGGTATTCTGTTGTCTCAGCGTTTAGTTGGCGTCCCTTTGAGATGTTCATGAGCTTACGACACATGCACATACACACATACATACCTAAAAAAGATTCACTACGTTACTTATTGGCGCCGAACACGTTTTTCATGCTCATATGAATGCAGCGTGTTCAACTGTCGCTTACAAATTGTAATACGGTTGTACCATTTGTCAATGGAGACACATAAATACATACATCTGCTTGTATATATATATATATATATATGCACACGCGACTGCCTAGAATTGTCGACATTCACATATGCATATATATGTATGTATGTACATACGTATTCCCAAAGCTTCTGACATATTCTCACGTCTGCCTGGATGCTCATACGCCCACACACATACACTTTGCTTTATTCTACTCCCCTCCACTTTCATTTCTACGATATTTCCGAATCCGGACAGTCTTGATTTCTTTTCAGCTTGTCGCCTGGTGGCCTTAAATGTCCGCTTTGACTTTGAGTGATATTTTCAAATTATTTCACTAAGAGTTGGTTTGCTGCTGTCATATGAGCGGCGGTTGCGAAGGCTTTGCATTGGGTCAAGTGCTCACTTAACAGCATTCAAGTTTAATATTCTACATACATATTTGATTTAATTTTTTTTTTACAAAAATTCCAGTTGGTGTATTGAAAGTTTGTGAGCACATTGTGAAAGAATTTGCATGATTTTTCCTCTGATTTACCTAGTATAAAAGTAGCATTTTTTCTAAATGTTTTATTCGTTTCTTATTGTTTCAGGCTACTTTTGGCACATCACAGATTTGCATTTGGACACATACTACTCGACGCAAGGAGATGTTATGCACAGTAAGTAAAACATTTTATACATACATACTACACTGAAAATAAATTTTCGTAAAAATGCCGTGGAAAACTTTCGTAGTCTTGGTTTTCGTACAACGGACGAAACTTTCGTTCATAATATGAACACATTTTTCGCAACGAAACAAGATTTTACCAATCCTTCGTAAATATAACGAAAGGACTAATGCTTATTTCTCAAGTAGTTTTGCTCCATGGCAATTTTAAATTTTATGTAAATGGTAGCGGCACATTGGGTGAACTAAATGCATTCCTACATACATATTTATGTACAACTGTAGGTAATATTGTATGCGTCTTCCCAGGTAGGTTAAGTGCGGGTGATAAACCCATTTAGAACACTTAAATACTGTGTACATAACTACAATTAAAATGGTGAAAAATATTACATTTTCGGCATGTGACTGCAAAAAAACTTTAAAATACACCCAAATTGTGGTTTCAAAGATTTCCAGGGAAATTCGATTTAAGTGGCAATCGAAAAATGACCACCAACCAAGTAACCAAATTAGACGAATAGGTTAATTTTTAACCATTTGACCCTTTTTGGCGCGACATTTTTTCAATTTGAATCGTAATATCTCCACAACAAGAGTTTTCCAGATACAAGCTATATACCAGATGAAAGCTAAGGTTTTGGGCTAGACTTGTGGAAACCTAGAATAAAATCGACTGAGCAGTTTTTGAGAAAATGCCCGAAATGTATATTTTCAGCAGCCCGATTTTTAGTTTTCAGGCGATAACGTTATGACTTATTTATACTTTATAAACGCAAAAGACAGCTTTAGGTAGCTTGTTTTAAGACCCTTCTACTGATATCCACATGAATGACATGGATTGAGTAGTGCCGCCTCAGTGGTAGTTTAAAAACTGCATTTTTTCGAACTTCAGGCAGCAGCCACGCCCACAAAGGCATACGAATCAAAACATTCTGGAACAAAACCTTCTTAGTTTTTTTGGTACTTTACTTCCTGAAAGTTGGAAAAAAATTAAATGGTGGTACGTACAGACGCCACATACATAGCAAAGCATCTCGTAGTGGAGACACGAAGCAAAGTACATTTAGCTCTGTATCTTTCCAACTAGCAGCCGGAACTTAATATATAAGGTATCGTTTGAAANGTACTTTACTTCCTGAAAGTTGGAAAAAAATTAAATGGTGGTACGTACAGACGCCACATACATAGCAAAGCATCTCGTAGTGGAGACACGAAGCAAAGTACATTTAGCTCTGTATCTTTCCAACTAGCAGCCGGAACTTAATATATAAGGTATCGTTTGAAAGGTATTGGCCTACATAATAACACTAAATATGTTGGGTTTGCCCACATGCCCCCTTAAACCGGCAAAAGCAAACAAATGGTTTTTGTTTCGCAACACTTTAGCCAAATTTTTAAGAATCCGGTTAATCGTTTATGAACCTTGAATACATTTTCTGGACACACTCTGCAAGACCTTTCCAACGATACCTCAAACATGTCGATTGGACGTCTGGATAAAAACTTCCAAATCTCGTGTGCTTTGCCGTACGCTGTGATACATATAAAATGATACACTCAATGCTAACAAAATAATTTGTAAATTTTCAAAAAGTAAATATGTAATTCATCCGATTCTGTGTCAAATTATTCTCGCTAACTTCAAAGTAATTCCATTTAAGAAGAATAAAAACCTGGCTGTAGTCGACAATGAGCGAAAATGGATTGAACGGTAAACTAATAATTAAATTTTTAGTTCAATTGTTTATTACTTTTGTCTTTACGTTTGTGTCTTTTGAGTGTACATCGAAAGTTTGTATCAGAGAACCAATCTGAAATTATTGATAAAACTATAGACCGGTTTGGTGAACAGCCAAGACGTTTACTTTTTAAGTAATTGAAGCTCGCAACGATGTATGCATTTTTATTTTATCTTACAAAATTGCAGAGGTATATTGCATAGTATACCAGACGTTCCCTTTCAAAACTTTACTCGTTTCGGTGGGTCCCCTGATGCTCATTTCTAACATATTCCCAAAGCTCATCAAAAAGTGCGAAGATTATTTGTAACGATGTAATTTTGCGTAGCGGGTGAGTTTCAAAACAGATTCGACTATGTGCGAGTGCGGGCTCGGTGCTGGAATTAAACCAGCATTCCCCCTCAGGGAACTCTCTCTCTCTCTCTAGAATCTCTTCAATAAAGGTAACGGTGGCGTACCATCCTGTAACATTGAAAAGACACAAGTGCTCAAATATCTGCCGCCGGCAATTTTCGCATCGCCTCACTCAGTGTTATACCAATATCCGCTTCTTTTTAGTCTGCAGGTGGCCTTTAAGGCTTCCTCACGTATGATGACACAAAGTGACGGTAAGTTCACCAGTGCGTCAAGTGCACTATACATTAATGTTAAATAAATAGGCTATCAAGCAACTATTTTGGTTCTTTACTATCGAAACCAGATGAATTTCGTCGAAGAAGTCGAATAGTTCTAACCGATCTAAAAATTAATGAGGTTGTTCACACTTGCCTGGTTATCAGGTTATCTGATTAAAAATTATTATTGTGTAGTAAGTTTTATTGTTGTAAACTGAATAAAAAATATAACCACATAAGCTGATAACCAGGCAAACGTGAAGAACCTCACTATTTTTGTATTGTCACTTATAGTTCATTTCAAAAGCTGGGCAAAAAATATGAAAAAAAAATGATTTCTATCCAATTTGTGGTATTAGATTTTACATAGTAAAATTTAAAAAATAATAAAAAAAATGTACACATAAAACATTGCAATGCAAAAGACAAAAATTCAAAGATCTTGAAATTTGAATGAAATTGTTTAATTTCAAATTCTTTTTCGGGTCAGTTTACAAAGTCGATTTTTATTTTTATTTGTTTACTGTTATTGTTATTATACAAGTCTCTTCCAACACAAAAAAATAAAAAAAATAAAAACGATAAAATAATAAGTAGTTGTTAATTTAAAAGAATTGGCAATATACATATGTCTGCGGACATTTGACAAAACAACCTCTTTCAAAATTAAAAATTTTTGAGGAGAGCGAAAAAAACATATTAAAAGCTTTCCACAACATATTAAGTTTCTTATAATGAAGGACAAATATTTGTTGAAACTGGACACATATTAATAAACAAGAATTTTTTAATAAATTTTTTTAATTAAATAACATACATTTTTTTAAAAAATAGAAAATATAGAAGTAAGTCCTTTTGTCAAATGCTTTTTCCAACAAAAATCATCTTACACCACACAATTTTCTTTGTCAAAAAGTAAAATAGTAAATTGTAAAGACTGACATAAATTTTCTATTAGAGGCCATTTTAATGTGTCGGTAAGACATAAATACGCGCACTGAAAAGTCATGTATACTACATATGATAGAAATCTTAAAAAAAAAATTCTTATCTCGAGAGAAATTTTTTCGTATATATGTATATATTTTTTTGATTTTGGGTAAATTTTCAATGTAAAATTGGAACATATTTAAATTTTTTGTTATGAGTATAGATAGACAATTTCTATTTAATAACACAAACAAACGGGATGAAAAATTTTAACCCATTCAAATGGTGTAGATTTTTGATCACTGATATCCCTAAACAAGTACACTGTGCAACGTTACAATACCCCCGTGCATAACTGCACTCGCAATGAGAAAATTTTGTCAACTTTACAAAGTCAATTTTCTCTTCTTCTAACAATGAGAAATTCTCTGCAAAGCCACCCAATTAAATACACCCACTTGAAGCATAGCAGAGCACTTGCTCTTAAAAAGTTGAAAATTTCATTGGACTTGCTATTTAAACTTCGACCAAAGTCAAACTATCTACTTAACTGGCAGTTTCCGCCAAATGCAAGCACCTTTCGCTTTCCTTTTGGCAGAAAGTCCTGCAGAGCTCAGACTTTCATTTGACTTTGTAAATTGTTATTTTTTCAATCAAATTAAAATTTTATTTCTATTGCGAATTCCACACAACACTTTGCTCTTTTCACTTTTTGCTTTCCGGCTTTTATTTTCATTTCACCGGTCGGAGAAGCCCCTCTCATGCCGATATTGCTTAGCTTGGCTGCAGTTGTGTGAGTTGTATTAGTCGTCTTTATTTGTTATTGTTTGCTTTCTTTTATGTACTGGCCTGGGTCAGGGGGTACACATTCCAATTTGTGGTGAATTTTTCAGTAAAATAAAAGGATGACACTGGCAGGGAAGTGCCTGCGGGTGGTCAAAGCAAGCGCACCAAAATTGTGCTCACCATTAGGACAATGAATGGCCGGCCGGTCACATAGCTTTCGGCGTTGTCAGCACAAATGTCTGTTGTTCCATGCCTTCAACTCTCCAATTTCATTTTGTGGTTTTAGCAAAAATTTTCTATGCTTTTTTATGCTTTTAATTTTATTAAATCTACTTTTTTTTAATCCAACAAAGGAAACGCTGTGGCACTTCCTTGGGTTTTTTTTTTTGTTTTCGTTTGGTTATCTGTGCAGCTTATATGGATTTTTTAGCTTTGTTTTTGTCGGTTTTTCACCGACATTTATATGCGCCAAAGCTTTGTTTGTTTTTCTTGTAGGAAGATTATCTACCAAGCATTTCTAAAACGACTTTTTCCATTTACGCTTCTTTCTTTGCAGGTTGCTGGCGGATTGACGGTCAATCGCCGAGCGCTGCCATTCGTTCACCGGGTCGCTTTGGTGATTACTTCTGCGACAGTCCTTGGAGTCTAATTGAGTCGGCGGCGAAAGCAATGAAGTCGCGACAAGGCGACAATGTCGAATTCGTGCTATGGACGGGGTAAGTAAATAGTGTGAGAGGTGCGAGAGAAAAGATTATAAAGGCAAAATGCTGATTGTGTTTACCTAAAAATATATTTATTTTAATGGAAATTTGTTGTCGGGAGCTCAATGAAGTGACTGAAATTGTGTAACTAGTAGTTTGCTTAGTTGTACATTTTATATTTTCTCAGTTCTTTCTTAGTGTTTTGTTAAGCAGTTTAGTTTCAAGTTGTGTAACATTAAACCACAAAGAAAATTGTATCAAGCCCTTGGATTAGTTTGTGTATGTATATGCAAGTGTGCCAAATAAATTGCAAGACAACCAGTTTTCTTTTGCGATGCAAGGGTAAAACAAGGTAAAATAACAAGTAATCAAATGCAATTAAACTAGACAAAGCCGCTTATGGTATCTAATGCATACATACGTAAGTTTCGTAAAAATAGCAAAAAGGTCTTAGTTTAGAACAAAGAATGCTTTAACAGTTTCTTTGTATTCGCAAAAAGTATGCTTATTTTGAGGCGATACACTTTTATGGTATTACCGAATATCGTGTTATTTAGGTACGTTATTGATTAACCTTGATATGTGGTATATTCAAATACATATTGCACTCTCTAAATTTATTATAAGGGTATGTTTTTACTTGTGTGCCATACTTACATTCATTTTTAAAAATAGCTTAGACTCAACAAACATCAAAATAATATTTCTCAAACCTTGTAGAAATTCATAGTTTCCAAGTTGATATCCAACATACAATATCATTCTCAAACTCATCTCTAACTTTGGACTGAGTTAAGAAAAACAATTTTCTCCAATATGGCAAAAATACAATAAAAAATGCAAGTGACAGCGTTGGCAAAACATGTGCATTTGAAAGTATAAAATCGTCTCGTAGATAAGTATGTAAATAGTGATGAGAAACGAATTGTTAATTATCAAGAAAAAACTAAAGCTATATAAAGAGGAAAATTACCAACAAAAGATATATAATGTCTTCAAAGAAAATAAAACGCGAAGTGAGTCAAGTGATAGACTTACTCTCGGACTGCAGACGGACGACTGAAAACTTGACTCTTAATTATAGTACCCGATATTGACTACGTAATACAAAAGGAGTAAACAAATACATATTCAGCCAGAACAGGTTCCCTTTTCACTTTTCATTTCCGTGTAATCACTTTGGGTGAATTTCGTGCGAAATTGTGTTCGGGAACGCTCAATTATTACATACCGTTCGCTGGAGTGGAATGAACCTATTTTTACTGATAGTAAAGTATCTATCTATTTTACGGACATCTCAAAAATAGATTATGGCGTAGGTTAGGGAATTTTTTCAACTGACCTCCAAATCGAAGTGTCTATTCGACTACCGAGTTCGGCCAGTGTTTTCAGAGGTATTTGCCATTAAAGAAACCTGCAAATTATTTTAGCCTCGAAGACGGCAAGTTCCAGCAATGCTATTTCCTCGGATAGCCAAGCAGCTACCAAGGCGCTTGGCCCTGTAAGCATCACATCCTGCATATTAAACAGTGCAGAGAGAACGTTAGGGATTTTGCTGACATGCATGTCGTTACACTAATCTGGGTGCGAGGGTAAAGCAAAATTCATGAAAATAAGATGGCGGAGGAACTAGCCAGGAAAGGGTTGGCTCTGTATGTCTCAGAGGCAGAGGATGTACTTGTGCCTCTGAGCTATATCAAGGGCCCCATCCTGTAGGGACTGCAGGAGTATGTGGCCCACCGATTGCGCCAAACGCACTTAATTTCTCATCAAACTCAACAGGAGGGATTTATCTCTACTAACTGCCGTTTACACAGGGCACTGGTCCGTGGGAATGCGTGCTGCAAGACTTGGACTGACCAACAACAATTCTTGTCTTAGCTGTAATTCTCCAGATGCTGAAGATACGGTAGAGCATCCACCGGCTCTGTAATTGCCCGGCTCTATGTAGGATAGAGTCAGTATTCTAGGCAAACCCTGCTAATGCGTTTTAATAGACGTGAGTGATGTTATCCAACTGCAACCTTTTAACTCCTTGAACTCCACCTGCTTGATTTGAGAGAAATAACCGACTTCTGCTATTTTCTCTTCAGGTTAAATTTCGAGTAGTGGCTTCAAAACAGCACTCAACCAACCAACCACTATGGACAAATTTTTTCTTTTTCCAATTCATAAGAGAGAAATGTTTTTTAATTTTTTTTTAAGAATATACGTCGATTCTGTAGAACCTCAAATAACTATGAAGAAGAAAAAACAGACAGTTCTCTAACTTCCCAATACTGTGCAAAGGCAGGTTTCGGTAAATTGGTCGCTATTTTTAACTGAATCGATCAAAAAATTTAGTAAGCTCTTTGTTTTAAGCGAAGACCATAAAAAATGCAAAGCAAGTTTTAAATTCAGCAACAATCAGATATGCAAATATTTTTCTTTACTTCCTTTGTAATAGCAAATTGATTTTCCGGGAAGGTTTGTCTAAATGTTAAGGCAAATATTCGCTTACAAACTCATATCGTCGTTTAAAGAACAAAACCGCGTATCGTCATTCTTCAAAATCGCGTAGCTGACATTTGCTGCCAAAAATTGAATTTGCGCACACAAGCTCTTGGCTCAATCCTTATCCATTCTTCCTGAAATATACTAGCCATAAATGCCATTGCTTTAAAGAAAAGAGATTCATTTTGAAATATGAGTACTTTTATTCTTTAGAAAATAATTAATGCAACCTCACATATGCGGTTTTGTACTTTAAACGACGAAATGAAGCTTTACTTCTGATAGTTCAAATAACTGCAGGCTATTTTCTTTGGAAAAAATATTTGCGCAAGTATGTACATATGTATGTATAACGGTTTACTGGCAGCAATAAAAGATCACTTCCAACCACTTTATGTAGGTTACTTGTGTCAGAAACAATGCTGCTGTCCAAGAAAGTGAAAAAAAGAAAGTAAACCAAGTTTCATTGAAGGCAAGCAAACAAGCTAGACCGCATCAAAGCAATAAAAGCCAATCTAACTTGTCATGCATATTACAAATCTGACAGTTTTCAACACATGTGTCTGTTGCCATAGTTACTAACCCGCAAACATATTTTGAGCGTTCAGAATATATGAGTCGTAGGACAGGTAGGTAATGCTACGTTCAAATTGACGAGCTAAACATGTTAAATGGGCTTAAGCCAGTTAAATGAACAAAACATGTTCATAAACAAGTTAAATTGCATTGTTGTTAGAAAATTGAACCAGTTAAATCATTTAACTCGTTTGAAAACCAGTTCAGCGCAGAGTTGTATCAGAAAGCTTTCTAAACCGGCCAATCAGAAAGAAACAAAAGCTTTCATTTGACACGCCAACGTTCAAAAAAATTACGGTTTGAAAAATATAAAAAAATACCAAAATTGTATGCTGTCTGCCCGCCAAAAAAGAGGCCAAGGCGGTAATTAGTTATTTCGCATGAGGTCTCATCGTACACAGAAATAAATAGTGCATACGTACTAAACAATTTGAAGTCTCTAAGAAATCCGTATGCGTTAAGCAGACATTCGCACAAAACAAATTGAAACACAAATACTTGAGTTTGAATTTTTTTTTTCGAATTTTTATTGGTAATAAAACAACCGTCAAAATTAACTCCTAATGTGCGCTGTGGACGATTGTGTTTTCCAAAAAGCTCTTTTTCATTTAACAAGTTAAATAGGGCCGATTTGAGCATAATATAAGAAATATGAGTTTCAAAAACAAAAATGTTTGTAATCTTATATGAATCTTTTAGGAGTCATAAATGTTCCAAGTTATGAGCCAGCACTGTATGCCAATATAAAAACAATAAAGACTCGAAATTTATATATAAACTTGTTTATACAGATATGAAAAAACATTAGGAAGCAAATAAACAAAATTTGGCTGCAGCAACTGCTATTACATGAATATTGTATACTTGCAATAGTATTTGAAATGAATGACCTTGCCAACATGGCTCTAAAGTAAGTTCAATAAGAGTCGAAGAATAAGCCTTAACAGCTTAAAATCAGACTCCGAAAGTAGATACGATAAGGGTTCAAATGATTCATATTGAGGCTCATTTGATGTATGAATTTAAGCTCATATAATTCGAGCTTCGCAGGAAGGGAAACACCTCATTTCGGGCTCTTAAATGAGCTCATAATGAGCATAAAGGCTCCGAAATGGTACTTCTTAAAGACTCATTTGTGACTCCAAATGTTTGCTGGGTTATGGAAGTGTGTAGATGTATGTGTGTACTTGAAATGCATACGTGCATATGTATCTACGTGTGTTTGAAAGGATTTTTTCATTACTTGTTCAACTACTACTGTCACGCTTTGTTTTCCGGTAAAATTACTTAATCCTATTTTAGGTTGGTTTCAAAAGTTTAATTAAATCAAGTTAGGGAACTTTCTATTCCTCTTAAGCGAAATCTGTATTTCTATAAATTATTTTTTACTTTTTAGTTCACATTCCAATAAAAGCGAGGTTTTAATTTTTAAACCTATTATTTTATTTTCATCTATTTAGTCCTAAATTCAATTGATTTTAAAACTAGATATTATAACGAATAGAATAACACGCGATATCATTCTTTTAATTTTCATTCGTATTGTCATCAGGTAACTTTAAAATTTAAATTTAAAGCAATCTCATTCGTACTGTCATAAGTTATGTTACTTGATAACAGTGTGGCCAAGCTTTGAATTTGAAAAAGCACTGAAACCCAAGAAAGACACGTTTTTTCTCGAAAAGGCACCAAATTTTTATTGGACTATTTAATGTACTCTACATGCATGAAAAATTGTATTGTAGGTACGCCGGTTCAAATTAATAAAAATCGATGTTTTTTGCTCGACGAAATGTTTTCTTCATGATAGGTTAACTAAAAACCTACTATTATACCTGTTTATAAATGGCCATCAAGTCAAGGTGCAGGAATGGTATTGGCAGGAACAGTAGCCTAGGATTCTAGCCTTAAGCTAAGCCTAAGTGGAAGGTTCTACCACATTTTTA